GAAGAAATACGCGAGAAGTCTCAATCGAATGGCAATCTGTAGCTTCTGGTTATTCCAGTCTACACCGATAGTATTTATTGTGCATGCTCTCCAGATAAGAATATGATGTCACCCTTCGATATGACTTGTGGAATATGTCTAGCCACGTTCTTCGAGTCCTTTGTCACAAATGGCACTGAAACGCATTATGGTACACGATTCGTGTACCAATGGTAGAATGTTTATTTTGTCTTAAATATTGGATTCAACAAAATCGGATAAAAATTGTGACCTTTATAGTGTCCACAACCTTGATATACCATATTTTTACGCTACTTGAGTATGAGGGGCGGCCATTTTGTCTGTCAGTTTTGGGCCGATTTTCACGAAATTCGAACTCAGACGTCCTTAGGGTGTAACAGTGATATAATAGTACGTTTTTTTAAATCGGATAAAAATGATGACCTCTATAGGGTCCACAAGCTAAAAACGCGATTTTTCGTACAATCAGGGGCCATAATTCAGGAAGTTATGGTCCGATATGCGTGAATATCAACAGGAACCGAGATTTTTGGGTTATAAACTTACATTTCAAGTTTCAACAAAATCGGATAAAAATTGTGACCTCTACAGGGTCCACAACCTTGATATACCATATTTTTACCTATTTGAGAACGAAAGGCAGCCATTTTGTCTGTCAGTTTTGGGCCGATTTTCATGAAATTCTAACTCAGCCGTCCTTAGGGTGTAACGGTGATATAATAATACGTTTTTTTAAATTGGATAAAAATTATGACCTCTATAGGGTCCACAAGCTAAAACGCGATTTTTCGTACAATCAGGGGCCATAATTCAGGAAGTTACAGTCCGATATGCGCGAATATCGAAAAGAACCACGATCTTTGGGTTATAAACTTACATTTCAAGTTTCAACAAAATCGGATAAAAATTGTGACCTCTACAGTGTTCACAAGCTAAAAACGTGATTTTTCGTACAATCAGGGGCCATAATCCATGAAGTTACAGTCTGATACATGCCAATATCGAAGGGAACTGAGATCTTAGGGTGATAAACCTATATTTCAAGTTTCATTGAAATTGGATAAAAATTGTGACATGTAGACTGTTAAAAACAATTTTGGACATACGGACGGACAGGGGCGACGACAATATACGTCCACATGAAAATGTGGGCGTATAAAAATTTGGGTGAGATTGAATTAGAGACTTTACTACTTTACAGGAAGATATTTTTTCAGCAAAAATACTTATTTATCATTATATTCTGTATACCTGACAATAATCATGAACAACTGCCTGATTAAAAAAAAACAAATTCTCTGTATTTGAAATAGGATTGAAGCCGTTAAATATGATTTGAGGAATTTTGAAGGCATATCAGTCCAAAAATGGTCAAATTTCATTAAGTAGATATAAAAATTTTACAGCATTCGACATCCTCTGCATACGAGATAAACAAGCCAACATCACCTATAAGTTTTGGGTAATATCTTTGATGGGTCTCTTTTTAATTCAAGCCAAGGCTTTATCATTCATATTTTGGATTTTTAATTAAATGTTAAATGTTAAGTAATCAGAGGCGTAGCCGTAAAATATATATTGGGGGGGGGGGGTCCGCAAATGAAATTATATAAAATGTTTACAATCTGTGACGCCGGAGGCACGAGGCTGGGCAGCAGCCGATGTAGCTCGATAGAGAAAGTGTGTGAGGGTCACCCCCATAAATTATTTTGAAAGTTTCAGTCTTCTGTAAACACTGTTTTGGCATATTTTACAGGGTTAAACTAAAACATCACACCAATACAATGTTAATCATGTTTAAGTCAGGGGGTGCCGTATTCATATTTTTTTCATGACTTTTACATATAGAATGTTACGCTTGAGTTATGAACAACACGACAAAGAGAGTTTAGTAGGGGAATTTTAATGAGGAGGATCCAAATGAAACAAAACTTGATCACATAACTTTAGTTTATGAGGATGCATATTTGACAATCACCTTCTTAACTACAATACTATATACATATACACATTGACATTTACAAGAAAGTTGAATAATTATTTAAAGTCTTTTGTACATTTTGTGTATTATAAATGTTAAGTAATCAGAGGCGTAGCCGTAAAATATATATTGGGGGGGGGGGGTCCGCAAATGAAATTATATAAAATGTTTACAATCTGTGACGCCGGAGGCACGAGGCTTGGCAGCAGCCGATGTAGCTCGATAGAGAAAGTGTGTGAGGGTCACCCCCATAAATTATTTTTAAAGTTTCAGTCTTCTGTAAACACTGTTTTGGCATATTTTACAGGGTTAAACTAAAACATCACACCAATACAATGTTAATCATGTTTAAGTCAGGGGGTGCCGTATTCATATTTTTTTCATGACTTTTACATATAGAATGTTACGCTTGAGTTATGAACAACACGACAAAGAGAGTTTAGTAGGGGAATTTTAATGAGGAGGATCCAAATGAAACAAAACTTGATCACATAACTTTAGTTTATGAGGATGCATATTTGACAATCACCTTCTTAACTACAATACTATATACATATACACATTGACATTTACAAGAAAGTTGAATAATTATTTAAAGTATTTTGTACATTTTGTGTATTATAAATGGATTTCAAAAAGTAAACATAAGTGTTTGTGTTTTAATTTGTACATTGTTTTATACAGATAGAATCTTAACTAATCCTAATAATTGTTGTAAATAAATAGGAGTTAGAGCCTACTATGTAAATATGTAAAAGTTTTTGGGTTTTTTTTAGGGGGGGCAAGTATATTCAGACCCCCCCCCTCCATGTGACGCCCATGTAAGTAATCAACACGAGTACATTTACACATAAAAAATCAGATATTGACCTAAAAATGCAAATATGACGTTTAGCAGCTTAATTAACCAGCGGCTGCCAGGCAGGATACGCCCACATTTTCGAGAGATGGATAGAGAGCAAGCTAAAAAGAAAGTGATTTTTCCTACAATCAAGGGCCATAATTCAGGAAATTACAATTCGATATGCGCAAATATCGAAAGGAACCGAGATCTTTGGGTTATAAACTTACATTTCAAGTTTCAACAAAATCGAATAAAAATTGTGACCTCTATAGGGTCCACAACCTTGATATACCATATTTTTACGCTATTTGAGAACGTGGGGCGGCCATTTTGTTTGTCAGTTTTGGGCCGATTTTCACGAAATACGAACTCAGCCATCCTTAGGGTATAATGGTGATATAATAATACGTTTTTTAAAATCGGATAAACATTATGACCTCTATAGGGTCCACAAGCTAAAAACGTGATTTTTCGTACAATCAGGGGCCATAATTCAGGAAGTTATGGTCCGATATGCGCGATTATCGAAAGGAACCGAGATCTTTGGGTTATAAACTTAAATTTCAAGTTTCAACAAAATCGGATAAAAATTGTGACCTCTATAGTCTCCACAACCTTGATATACCATATTTTTACGCTACTTGAGTACGAGGGGCGGCCATTTTGTCTGTCAGTTTTGGGCCGATTTTCACGAAATTCGAACTCAGTCGTCCTTAGGGTGTAACAGTGATATAATAGTACGTTTTTTTAAATCGGATAAAAATTATGACCTGTGGGCGTATAAAAAGGATTAATAAAAATTAAATTTATTCTTTGAACTTTTACATATAATTTTTGGACATTGTTATGCTAATTATATTTAGTTTTGGATCCAAACCATAATGTTTTGTTTTTTATATTGATACATATAGATAATTATTTGAAAGCATAATTTTGATCAGAATAAAAATAGACCCAAGATTCAATAGTATGTCATTGGGGGCATTGTTATCCATGTTTTGTAACCAAATTAAGGGTTGTTTTGGTTAAGAAGGCAAATGACAGTCGACTGACAATTGGTACTATAGTGATGTCAGTGAAAAGTAAATAATGAAGTTATATAGGGAGATGTCCAATTTACTAAGGTAATAAGTTGTATTTAACTTGTCACCATATCTAGGTCACACACAAATTTGTTTCATCAATGTGTATCAACTATTGACTTTGATTCAACTTGTCTAAGGCCGAGAATGTATTTAATTTTTTTTTTTTTAATTAAACAATATTTTTATTCAGGTTGTCTGAATGGGATTGGGGAACAGGCTTAGCCTATGTAAAACCCCTCTCCCTGATGAATGTTTACTTCTGGTGCAGCTTACGGAAATATAATAAATATACTTACAGTGACTAAGTTTTATAAATCTAAAACGATTTTAATAAATCTACAAATACTTTTTTCTAATTATCATAATTAATAGAATATACTAGGTACACAAAATCACAGATTATGGATATTATAAATACAGGAGAACTGTACAACAAAACACAGGCGAAGAATATTATAAAAACATACCTCAAACAAATTTAACAAAAAGATTTGTGACCTTGAGTGATGCATGGCATTTTGTAAGATTTGTGTTGATCAACCTGAATGAATGTCATTTTATTCCCCTTCAGTACAATTACAATCAAAGATTTATTCAATAAAATCTGTTACATTGTGAGCTTAGCATAGAGTCACATGCACAAGTTATATAAGCACCTTAAATGAAAGTTTATCGAGAGGTACATTTACCCAAACCCACTAAAATAATAATAATAAAAAAAATATAATATAACTACCAAAAATTATTTAATACATCAAAATAACATTTGAGATATCTTTTTCACACAAGACATTCAATTAAAAAATGATTAAGTATCATTCAATAAGTGTTCACCAGTTTGAACAGGACACATATTTTACAGTTTTAATTCAAAATGGAAAAAATTCAACCACAACAGCTTTTAAATCTACAAATGTAAACCTCTTTGCAGGATCGATTTTTTTTTCTTTCATTCAAAACAAAATAGTAAACAATCTTATTTATATATGTACCAATAATAAAAATACCGGTATAATCTTATAATTAACTAATAAGGGTATTGTCACTTTAATAATTAGTCTGTACTTACCGAGTAAATAGTGTAAAGTTCACGGTTTGTATTAAGTGTACCGTGATCTATTATATTGGTGTGTTTACACCTTTCTGAAATCAAGCCGGTCGTATTACGCGCATTTAGTGCAACGCCACCTAACGGCCAGGTAACACAAGCAGGTGTGACGTGCGATCAATGCACGGGCGATTAATCCTCGTCCTCTTTGTTACAACAAAATTAAAAAATCAATTTAAAAAATAAAAATCACAGTCTTTTGTTCACAGCAAAACACCTTTGTTAAATATGCAAATGTCTAGATCGTTGGAGAGGTTTTCTAAGCGATTTTTGGCTAGTAAAATTACTCAGCATTGAAGTTTTACGTTTTTTCAACAGGAAAGCACCAATCAGTTTCACAGCGAATTACGAGTCTTCTCTAATATCTATGTAAAAGACGACTGCCTTTAACACGTGCCGTCACAGCACGCGGCGTCAATCATTGGCTGAATGGCGCGTGCATTGTTTACATAAGACGTTACTGCTTCAGGCAGAATGCTGCCTTTTAGTCATTTTAATACCCATTTACACTCAATAGGAAATAATTTTTACCTACAAATACGTCGAACGTCTTTATTTATTTTTATAATACATCAAAAAAAAAAAAAAAAAAAAAATTGTTTTAGAATTTAATGTGTCAGTGGAAAAAAGTTAATATTTGAGACGCATTAAGTCGCATTGATGTCATCCTTATCAGTGATTGTAGCGGCCTAGCGAATATTCACTACTGATCAGTGTGGGAAAGCACTTCAGATGATGGTGGTTTCCTGTGATGGTACTGGACCAATATATGCATATGTATGTTTATAACCCAAAGAACTCGGTTCCTGTCGATATTGGCGCTTATCGGGCTGTAACTTCTTGGATTATGGCTCCTGCTTGTACGAAAAATCACACTTTTAGATTTTAGGCCTTCTAGAGGTCACAGTTTTTATTGATTGTAAAAACCGTCCAAATATACCACAGTTACACTATTACGGCTGAGTTCAAGTTCAAATGACCGCTCCCTTTTCCGCAAATAGTGTAAAAGCATATAATACCCATGGCGACCTTCGGATGTAAACTGTGGTCATGACTGTACAGCACCCGAACGCAAATGACCCGTGTATCATTTTCTATTCAATACGGCGACGCCCATGTCCGTTGTTTCGCCTGCTATATTTTCTGCTATTTACTCATTTTTATGTGCCCAGATTTTCATGTGGACGTATATTGTCGTCGCCCCTGTCCGTCCACAATTTCTTTGTTAACACTACAGGTCACCATTCTTATCCGATTTTGACGAAACTTGAAATATAGGTTTATCTCCAAAAGATCTCGGTTGCTGTCGATATTGGCTTGTATCAGATCGAAACTTCATGGATTATGGCCCCTTGTGGACACTCTAGAGGTCACAATTTTCATCTGATTTTGATGAAAATTAAAAAGCATGTTTATAACCTAAAGATCTTGGTTCCTTTCAATATTTGCGTATATCGGATCATAACTTTCTGAATTATGGCCCCTGATTGTACAAAAAATCGTGTTTTTAGCTTGTGGTCCCTATAGAGGCCCCAATTATTATATGATTTGAACAAAACTGTTCGAATATATCACCGTTACACCGTAATGTTGGTTGGGTTTGAATTTTGTGGTAATCGGACGAAAACTGCCAGACAAAATGGCCGCCCCTCTACGCAAATAGTGTAAACATCTGGTATATCAAAGTTGAGGACCCTCTAGAGGTCACAATTTGGACCCGATTTTGATGAAACTTAAAATACGTATTTATAACCCAAAGATCTGGGTTGTTTTCGATATTTGCGCATATCGGATGGTAACTTCCTGAATTATGGCCCCTTATTGTACAAAAAGTCGTGTTTTTAGCCTGTGGTCCCTCTAGAGGTCAAAATTATTATCTGATTTAAAAAACCGTTCGAATATATCACCGTTACACCGTAATGTTGGTTGAGTTTGAATTTCGTGAAAATCGGACCAAAACTGTCGGACAAAATGGCTGCCCCTCTTACGCAGATACATACTGCACGCAGCGATCCATCTACGTCATACTTCGAGAATAACATCACTGCCCTAAATGCCGTCCATTTAAGACGATCACGTGGTCATTTGGGGGCAGGACTTATCGACTCGCTGTACACCCAAATCACATGGTTTATGTAAACAATGTCAAGTTAGCGACGACTTTTGCCCCTCTGGTAAAGCGATATATAATATGTGTTAGTGAGTAATGTTGCAATACAGTCTTTACGATTGTAAACTGTCTTTACAGTTTCGATCTGTTTATCTTTCAAAACAAGGTTAGATACTCCTAAATTTGTCTTCGCAAACAAAACGGCTTCTGTGAAATTATCTTTCATGGGCGCCGCCATATTGAATAATTAGTGGACTATTTCGTGATTCTGCTGTGATCAGTTTGACATCTTTCATACACACAACGGCTAAATAATCATATTTAATTTCATTCAATATGAAAATAGAAGAGAAATAAATACTTCTAAAAATTTCTAAAAGCATATTATACTCAGTGTTTTCGACTAAAATGTAGGAATTAAAATGTCGGTTAATTACTTAGGGCCTGTTCTCAGGCGGAGCTAGCTGTGCACAGGCAGCCTAAGTTTGGGATGACGCAAATAGTGTAAACATCTGGTATATTAAGGTTGTGGACCCACGGATCATGCTTCCTTTCGATATTTGCGCATATTGGATAGTAACTTCCTGAATTATGGCCCTTGATTGTACAAATTTTAGAGGTCACAATTTTTATCCGATTTTTAAAAAAAAAACCCAAAACGTGTGAATATATCACCGTTACTTTTGCGGTGGCGAACAATTTTTTGCCCCATATATTCTCGGGGGAAAGGAGAACAAAAATGATCACCCCTTAGCTTCAGTACTAGTCAGGGGGAAGTATGAAATTAGTCCTTGTGGGCGTTTTTTCCGCTCAAAAATCGCGGTGTTTTTCCCATATACACTCCGCGGAATCAGAGACGTTCTTGGAGGAAAATCTTCCGTGAAAATATGAAATTCACGGTGGATTATAGTCGGTGGAAATATCACATTCGCGGCAGATTATGGTCCACAGTGATTCAAAATAGTCAGAGTAATTTAGTCCATATTGTCACAACGTTATTAGAAAGAAACAAATATTTAATTGAACAATATCACGAGAAAATTAGTCGTTTTAGTTCACCGGTAGTTCATATATTCATAATACTCTTTTTAAATTGCGTTTTGAAAATTAACTACTAAAGCTCCAATGTATTATTGTATTCGTATCCTAAAATGTCCGTTATGTTCGATTCATTTATAATGTACATGTACATCGGTATTTAATTCGTGAATCGTACACATTACGATTAGTTGACACATTAGTTGACCCGACAAGCAGACAATGAAACCATGTTTCGTGAATTCTGATAGCATTGTCTGAAAATGGACGATAATAAACATTTTTAGAGGGTAGCGATTTGCACGTGGATGTGCTGGAGTTTTTTTTATATACATGTACTTATTTATTATCAGTTTTAATTATGAACAAGAATTTAACGATATTCGTAGAAATAAACGAATTAGCATAAATTGCTAGGAAGGTATATTTTCTCCCCGATATTTAGTTTAACAGTAATTGAATTAAAATGACGATTCGGCACCCAACGTTCAATATAAATTAAATGTCATGTATTGAATAGAAGCTTGAAGATTGTTTACTTATTTCAGTTTCGTATTTGACTTTAAGATACAGATTCTCCATTCCCCACACTGCAAAACAGATCAACATGTCAAATCGATTCAGTTACCGATATAAGGCTTAAAAATATCATGTCTTAAATAGCCCCTTCGTCTCTTTAAATATATTTTTTTTAATCTTTAACTTTTAAATAAAACACACAAACTACTTACTGTATTTATACAGTAGACGATAAATATCCCAAAGAATAACCCGGTTCGGTTTCTTTCCAATAATTATCACAAATATATACAAATATTAAATTTCATTTTTTCAGTGAACATATGGAAGAAGATTTCAATAAAACACCTAACAACCAGATCTTATGAATGGAATCTTATCCGGACGGAACTTAGATTAATAGTAACTGATGCGACAATTAATCGCATCAAAGAGTACACATCAAAGAGTACAAAGGAAATTGCCTAACAAAAAAGCATGCATTAGTTAAAGGGAATGGTGCGATATAAGGGATGATTTTTGTGCCAAATTTATTGACAGAGTATGTCAACTGCGAATATGATGATTAAGTATTCTTTTCACACGCTGCATGCGTCAACCTTCAGTCTGTACCGATTCAAAAATTGTAACCTACTGGTAATACATGATGTAAATTATAGGGGGTGAGGGTGTGCTATTCATCGTAGCCCGTTCGTAATTTAGCCATGACAACGGCACCTATTTTGTGTGAAAATCCAGATTCGTCGCGTCCCAATTGTAATTGTTATTTAATAATGAGGTCAACTATTTTGGATAATGATTATTTACTGCAGGGACGTAACTAGCTCAGTGCAACGCGGGGGGCGGGAAGTGTTCTCAAGGGGTGCTGTAAAATTGACGGACAATGTATATCTACTGTGTTTATGGTCGACAATTTTTCACAGGGGAGGGGGCGAAACTTTTTGCAAGGGGGAGGGGCTTTGCCCCCCCCCCTGCCCCTCCTTAGTTGCGGACCTGATATACTGACAATTCAGAATATAAGTATTGTCTACAAGACTACGCCATGGTAACAATTTGTTGTTAAAGGGCATTCTATTTTAGTCAATTATCGATTTCTTTTGATGGCACGTGTGAATTCACGTAATTTGGAAACTTGACTGACAGTATGCATTGACTCAGACTCTTTGGTGCCGAAATGAAAAGGTCATCAAGGTATTATCCAACTGATATGTGTTAATGTACATGTGTTCAGCAAGGTTGACGGTGACTTCTGGCGATGTGTGCTTAAAAACAGGAGAAAAAGGCTGCCAAACGGGGAACAGGGAATAAGCAGGAAACTGTCCAATAACTGTTCGGTGTACACTGCAGAGCTTGTGGCCATTCGTGATGCTATATCATGGATTTCCCATCAAAAGACTAGTAAGTTCGTCATTCCAAGCGACTCTCTGAGCAGTCTGATTTCAATCCAAAATGACAACA